TGGTGGTGGTGGTGGTGGTGGTGGTGGTGGTGGTGGTGGTGGTGGTGTCCTATGGTTCTAGTTGTTGAAGGGCCTCAGCCACACTCAAAGCTAGGTGATTTATCTTTGTCATCTTTTTTAAAGATAATTCTGACATCGATCAATAGGGTTAATCTGGCAGTGGGATTCACACCTTCCTGCACTCCTGCCAGCAGTACGGGGCACAGCCTAAGCCACCATAGGCCAGCCTGGAGTCTTTTCCATGCTCTGATCACCCAAGCTGCCTCAGAACCCATTTGCTTCTCTCTTTCCTGGAAAGCTTCGCTTTATGTTTTATTTTGACCCCAGACGTCCAGATGTTTTGCAGTGTCTGGGCTTGTGCCCCTTGTTCTTCGTTCTGCCTCTTTGCCCCTTCTTCATGCAGTGATTATGTTGACAGTAATGTGTAATGCGCGTTCTTTTCACTGGTTTATCTACAGAAATTTCTCTGGGCCTTTTTTCTGTGTTTGATTCAACACTGCACTAAGGGGGGAATGTTCCATTGAATAAAAGAGCAGTGTGGTTTTCCGGGTCTGTTTCTTTTCTTTTAAAACCTCCTTTTCCTAACCAGCAGCACCAAGCTTCCCCTACCTACCTTGTTTTAATACCTGGCTCCTACCTCTTGTGTGTGAATGGGTTCAGCCCCTCACTTTTTCTAGTTTATAGAAATTGTTTCTAGTTGATAGAACTGAGAAGCAGGCTCACTCCACATTGCAGAGGTCTTTGTCATTTTGATGGCCTTTTTCCTGGGGCTTCGACCCCCATATTTGATGAGCTCTAGTTACAATTTGTGTCTACTAGCTGCCACCTGACTTAAGGACCTGGACCTGGGGAGTCATCAACACTAAAGGTCAGGCTAACTAATCCTGCTTGTCAGGCACAGAGCTGCTAAAATTAAAATTGCCAAGTGGCTTTTTTTTCTTTCTCTGTTGGTGGCTCTCAGCCTGCCAGCACTGCAGGCCTAGGGGAGTGTGGTTGGGACAAAGCGTCGTGCCTTTGTGATAAGTGGGCACTTCTACAAAGGGTCTTCTGCAGTTCTATTTAGGGTAGTAGGTAGTACGCAGTTGGCACCAGGAAAAGTACCCCTTCTGTCTTTTTAAGAGCCACATCTTTGGGCAGCTCATGCAACTGTTGCTGGACAGAGCTGCCCTGCTCATCTGGTTTGTCCAGTAGCTTGCCTGCAGTTGTTACTGTCCACCCTTAGGTTTCCTAAGCAAGTCCTAAACTAGAGGTTTTTCCTTTTGTCCTTAAGCTTACAATGTGGGGGCAGGGCCTGGCTACCCTCTTTGACCTTGGCTTTACCTCATTGCTTCCCTCACAATCTTGGTTTCCCTGGTGGGCTCATTGGGCGGTTAATTAGCTCTTTGAAGCTCTGGAAGCGGCAAAGTGGCGCTGTGTGGGTTTTAGAAGTAAAATCAATAAATGACTTAACCATGGCTCAGCCGTCCTCTGGTGTTATCCCCTCCCTGTGCAGTGTGCTCTTATGGCCCCTCTCACCCTGCTGCCAGCCTTTGTTACAGTTTCCAAGAGCAAATTTGAAGACCCAGCTACAACAAGCTCCTATGCATAGTGTCAGTATTTAGGAGGTGGGAAATAAGTCCATTTGGCCTATGGCATCTTAGGGGGGAAACACCTATTGTGTCAGGGTTATGCTTCACTAGATACCAGTTTTTGATGTTGGCAGCAGTATCCCTACCCCTCAGACTTTGGCAAGGGACAAGCCAAGTAGAAATGGCGCATGAGGTCTCTTTATTTCTGAGACTAAGACAAGTACTTTGCAGAAACTCAACATTGGTTCAGATAGGGAGGTCAGGTTTCTAATTAGAAACTTAGACATAACTCCAACTTAGTCTGTTGGATGTATTACCAGGGTTCTGGGACATGAACTACCATATATTTAAGTAAAGAAAGGTAAGAAGAGACAGGAAGGGTAAAAGAAGCATGTTTGAGCCTGTGGGTCTTATGCTGAGATGGGAGGGTGGGGGGCTGCTATGGAGACCAGAAACTCCCTGGATAAGGTTTTTGGCAAGCTTGTGTAGCCCTTAGATTTGGCAGGGCTGTCCAGCCTTTGGCTTTGTAACATGATGTGGTCTGCAAGTGTGTTGGGCCATATTTACAACTCTTGCTGTTAGTTGCAGGCTGGAGTAGAGGAGGTATGGGGGACTGGAGAGGTGGCTCAGCCCTTAAGGACATTGCTGTTTCAGAAGTCAGTTCCTAGCATTGTGCCTCACAAACATCTGTTATGTGATCTGATGCCCTCTTCTGGTATGCAGATGTGCATGTAGATATGTACTCAGGGTAGTAGGGGGCTAGGTTGACAGGGAGGAGCAGGTCTGAAGACCTGTGCTGGAGAACATCAGGATGGGCTGTGTTGATGGGACAAGGTGTTTAGGAGCAATAGAGAGAATTCAAATGGAGTTCATGTGGCTCCAGCATTTTGCCACAAATGGAGTGTGAATTGGTAATGTGGATAACAAGCTATGGTTGGTGACTGAAGAAAAGCTCTGGCCACCTTAGCCCTCCAAGGGACAGTACAAGCCAAGCTAGCTTTAGAATGAGATGCAGTAGAAGCAGAGGCTGGAAACTAAGAAATGATGGTGAGCTGGGTGGTGGCACTTGGGAAGCAGGCTGGTCTACACAGCAAGTTCCAGGACAGCCAAGGCTACACGGAGAAACCCTGTCTCAAAAACCAGAAATGGTGGTCTCAGAACCTAACTACTATGTCTAAGGCTGGGTGCAGGGGTACACCCTTCAATTCCAGCGCTTAAAGGCAGAGTCAGGAGGCTCTGAATTTGAGGCCAGGTTGAAGTTTTAGGCCAACCCACCAAGTGTTTTATGAAACCCACCAAGTGTATATGGTTAGCACAAATTAATAACTAGCTTTTATGAAAGAAAGTTGCCACAAAATTGGGTGGCATGGTTATGAGGTAAAAATAAGGCAAATCCTAAGAATGAATTCATGCCGGGCAGTGGTGGCGCACGCCTTTAATCCCAGCACTTGGGAGGCAGAGGCAGGCGGATTTCTGAGTTCGAGGCCAGCCTGGTCTACAGAGTGAGTTCCAGGACAGCCAAGGCTACAGAGAGAAACCCTGTCTCGAAAAAAAACAAAAAAAAAGAATAAATTCAGGTGTGATAACAGTGCTGGGGTTTGGGGGGTAGGAGACATGAGGATTCCTGCAGCTTGATGGCCTGCTGGGGTATAGTTTAGGTCAGCCAGAACTACATAGTGGAATCTGCCCCAAAAAAAAAAAAAAAAAAAAAAAAATCACTCTGATGGCCAGACAATACTGGTGCGTACCTTTAATCCCAGCACTCAGGAGATTCCAAGAACCTGTATGCAATTGGCACATGCAGGATAGATGGAGTTTGCTGGTCACTGCCAGTTTCAGTGTGACCTGTCCCAGGAACAGGGTGGGAAGTGATACAGCAGGACACTTGATCTCTAGTATGCACACAAAAAGTCATGGAGGAGGAAGAGGAGGAAGCCTGTCTTCGTAGTGCTAGAAGGCACTCTGCAGGCTGATGTGGGAGGGTTGTCATCAACAGTTGCAGCTGTGGACTCCTGTAACAGGGACAACTCTCTTGGAAGTAATTAGCCACTTGTGAAATTTGAGACCTCCACAGAAAGAAATTCACATATGGTACTGAAGCTTAGTTAAATGCTCCTGATTAAGGAGGATATAGGTCCTACCTACTTGGGAAGCAACCGCTGTAATTTAGTGAAATGATCTGAATGGTCTCATCAAATTGTCTTCTAAATAATTGTAGCCATAGATTAGTGTTAAGGTTAACTTCAGTTCACAGAGATCTGCATGGCCTTGAGTGCTAGGACTAAAGGTGTGTGCCACCATGCTTAGCAATTTTACGTTTGTGTATGTGTACATGTCTGCCATGTGCAGCTGCCCGAGGATGACAGAAAGGGGCATTGGGTCTTCTGGAGCTGCAGTACAAGAGCTACTGACAAATTCTAGGACCTAAAGTTGGGTCCCTCAAGAAGATCAGCAAGTACTCTACCAGCGTGGGCCATCTCTCCAGTCACAGAGGCTTCGATTGCATGGGAAGGAGGGAGCACAGTGGGAGCTGCAGGTACTCCTAGTCAAAATGCTGAGGGTGCTCAGTCATAAATGATACATTCATATTACCCCAAGGCTTAGCGGACATGGTAGACTAGGGCACAGATAAGAGCCGGAGGATGGCCTGAGTATCCGGTGGTCTTCAGGCCATGATAGAGATATGGCAGTCGAGTTCCCAGCAGCTGTGATTTCCTACATAAGATTGGTCTTGCCAACATCTTGTCATGGGAGAGGATGAGACTCACAAGGCCCCACTCCTCCTTGATAAATGGGTAGTTGGATGGTCACTGAGGGAGGGAAGAGACATTGTCTGTAGTGGTGTAGGCACTGTTAAGATGCCCATGCTCCAGTAAAGACCTCTTTTCATGCTTCTGTGAGCATGCCACCCTAGTGCCCTAGTGATCTTCACTACACACACACACACACACACCAGAAGCAGACTGGCTAGTTGAGAATCAGAAGTGAGATCCATTAAAAGAGGTATAGGGAGTGAATATGATCAAAATACATTATATACATGCATTATAATGTAATGAAAGCCATTATACATAATGCTAATAAACATCTGAAAAATGAGTTACGAAAGACTAAAGTGTGGCTGGCAAGGTGGTTCACTGTGTAAAACACTAAAAAAAAAAAAATGGAAGTAGAGCTGTTTGTAGCTCTCTGGTAGAACACTTGCCTAATACAAGGTCCTAGGCACTGAAAAATCTAGAGAAAAGTGTCCATGCTATATTCCCACTCCATCTGTGTTTTCTTCCTGGCTACTATATTTGATAACCTGGCTTCAGGAAGTGAGCAGGGCATTGTGCCCATGGTAGGGGCAGAGTTAGCGCTTAGCCTGAAAAGACCTGAGTGGCTTGCAGGTTAGGCCACACAGTTTGAGCTGCTTGGGGACTCCAGAACCCCACCTGCTAGAGAGCAGAAAGTTCTCAGAAACAGCTTGGCTATCCCAGAGCCCGACTCAATAGCATCCTGAAGTTATCCAACTTTTTGGCCTTCAGAGTAGGAACACCCAGTTCTTCCCCTCAGCCTGCTACCCTGGAGGCACAGCCAGCCTTTGAATTAGCCTGAGGGCCTAGGTTCTGTTCCCTCAAAGAAAGGAGCAGGAGCTAATGTCTGTCTTCCCATCCCCAGCCTCCAATTAGAAGGCAACAGCTCACGAAGCAGGAATTTTATTCGAGTATACATTTAATAAAGGAGTCCAAGATTCAGTCCAGTAAACAACTAGCCTATGAATGAACACACAGCAAAATAGTGCTGGGGTCAGTACGTGAGCTGCAAATGGAGATAGCCTAAGATTTGAAGGGAGAGCCTGAAGGCTGTACAGGTAAGTGGAGAAAAGGAACAGAAGAGGCTCCTTGAAGTCACAGCTAACACAAAATCCCTGCCCACTGTAGAGCCTGGGTGGGAACAGGAAGAGAGAAAGCCTCCAGTCACCTGCTATTATCCAGGAGTTGGTTAGTTTGTTGGTAGAAATTGAATGCAGGGCCTAGGCAAGTGCTCTAACATTGAGCTATATCCCAGCCCTCTATTATTGTGAGATTGCATACGCCTTTAATCCCAGCACTTGAAAGGCAGAGGCAGGTGGATTTCTGAGTTGGTGATCAGCCTGGTCTACGGAGTAAGTTTCAGGACAGTAGCGGTAACACAGAGAAACCCTGTCTTGAAATACCATAAACAAACAAACTGAAAACTAGAAGTAGAAGACTTGAACTTATGGTCCTACTATATCAGCTTCCTAAGTGACATTCCAGGCTGGTGATACCCTGTTTATCCCATGTCATGAACTCAACAATGGGGATTGTTGTCTTTCATCCCTGCAGACCACAGGACTATAGTTCCCAGTAGCCCCTGCTTCAGGCTGCAGCCTCAGCCAAAGCTGTCCTGTAACCCGACCATCTCTCTAGAAAAGGTCACTTCAGACCTCCTTGAAGGACAGCAACAGGGGGAAGCTCAGAGGCACTGGGCTTTGGTGGGGGTGGGGTGAAAGCAGCCGCTCTCCCTCAGGCATCTGTCCTCCCCCACAGCACTCCCTGCAACCTAGGGGCTTGGTCTGTTCACAGCGGCCGGCCTCTTCTGTAACTAGCAGCACTTCTGTTTAGGACACACTCATTCTCTGCTTATGGTTCTCTTGCCCATGCTCACAGCGTCCCCATCTTCATGGAGCCATGGATAAGTCTCAGCCAAGTGAGAAGTGGCTGTGACCAGCTTGATAGCCACTTCATTGTGCCTCTGTGGTGGTACTCTAGGCAAATGTCACATGCAAGCCCTGCTGCTCAGAGGAAAGGGCAAAGTGTTCTACACTTGTGACAACCCTCTGGGCTCTGTAAAGAGGGTACACAATCCAGTCCCACCTTTCATCTGTAGCTTAAGAAAGGGCCCAGATTGGATAATGTCTTAGACAAAGTCTCAACCAGAGTGCTGTAGGCAAGCTTCAGGCCTTCCAGACTAGTCTAGCTCTGTCTGAAGTACCCTGCTCCAATATTCCAAAAGCCAGGCCCCAGTAGACAAGGCCAAACAGCTTAAGAAACCTGGAAGAAGTGGGTCAGCTGTGAACACACCCCTCCCTGGCTGTGGGGAGCTTGTTCCTCCCTCCTCTCCTCTCCACTTGCCCCCAAAATAGCTCCCTGAGCTTCCCGGCCAAGACCCTCCCATGTCCGGAGAGGCGTGGCATGCTGCCCTGAGCCAGGCTTTAAATCCCCTCACAACTGGGCAGCTCCACTCCCTGGTTGGAGGCACCGAGGCCATCATCTGTCCAGTTCGGCCCACCCTCCTGCAGCCATGTCCAGGCCTCTTTCAGACCAGGATAAGAGAAAGCAAATCAGTGTTCGTGGCTTAGCCGGCGTGGAAAATGTGTCTGAGCTGAAAAAGAACTTTAACCGTCACCTACATTTCACCCTGGTCAAGGATCGAAATGTGGCCACTCCGAGAGATTACTATTTTGCACTGGCCCACACCGTCCGGGACCACCTCGTGGGACGTTGGATCCGCACACAGCAGCATTACTACGAAAAGGACCCCAAGGTGCTACAGAAGGGGACACCCTGGGTTGGGAATTAGCTGGGAGTGGGGCCTGCCAGAGAGCTAAGACATCTCAAGCAAGCGGCAGTCTCTTCCTGAGGCCCAAGTTTTCTACAGCAAAATAAATTGCTGTCTTAGGAACCTGGGATTAGAGGATCTAGTGGTGCTGGACAGAATACTGAGGAGGGAGACCCAAGGGTGCTAAGAGTAAGCAGGCTATATATGTGCCAGACATAATTGGAGGGGCTGCTGGTGGGCAGGAAATGTATACCCCTGTGGCCCGGTTTGGACCTGGTGTGGAAGGACATGTCAACAAATGTATGCATGACACAGTCTACTTGTACCACAGGCAGGGCAAAGCAGTGGCAGCTGGTGTGGCAGGTATCAAGTGTCTGGTAGGGTCACTGGTAAATGTCAGGAACCTAACACCCCACAAATGGAGTGGGGGAGGGGCAGGGAGAGACCCAGGAAATGGGGAGACGGTGCCTTCAGCATCTTCATGCTTCTGCTCATCTCTGGGCTGGAGGCTTAGGGGCAAAGGGGAACGGAATTGCATAGACAGAAGGCAGTTACAGTCCTGAGTCACCATGTGACCTTGAAAATGACTTTTTCCTTTGGGCCTTGGCAATGTCTTCTTGGGGAGCACTCAAAGCTGCTTCTCAATGTCCTGACTTCCTGATGAGCTATATTAGGAGAGTATGTACCTCAAAAGGGGTCCCTATTTCTCACAAGCGCCCTAATCCCTGAGATAGGCCTGGCCAGCCTTATTCTCTAGAAGAGGAAACAAGCCAGATGGAAAGGCATTTCAAAGGAATACAGGGACCGACACCTTTTTTTCTGTTGGGCCCCAAAGTCTGAAATAGCTACTCTGAGCAGGCAGAAAAGAAGTGACCGAGATGAGACATGCTGGGGCCTGGCGGGAGGGCAGGAGGGTGAAAGGTGCAGACCCAGCTGTCAGTGGGGCAGCCCTTATACGTGTTCCCCATTTGCCTGTCTCTGGGCAGAGGATCTACTACCTGTCTCTGGAATTCTACATGGGACGGACACTGCAGAACACCATGGTGAACCTGGCCTTGGAGAATGCCTGTGATGAGGCCACCTACCAGGTGGGGGAAGCACTTAAAGTTGGGGGGCTCTCATGCTGGCACTTGGGCCTGATGGCTGCCACCCCTTCCTTCCCTTAGCTGGGCTTGGACATGGAGGAGCTGGAGGAGATCGAGGAGGATGCAGGGTTGGGCAATGGGGGCCTGGGACGCCTGGCAGGTGAGCACATAGCTTGTGAGGGTGGGACAGAGGAGTTTCTTATGTTGGATCCCTGATGCTTACCCCCTGTCCTCATAGCTTGCTTCTTGGACTCCATGGCTACACTGGGGCTAGCTGCCTACGGTTATGGGATCCGCTATGAGTTTGGGATTTTTAACCAGAAGATCTGTGGGGGTTGGCAGGTAAGCCACGCAGACACCAACCTCGGGGTGCTCACAACACAGAGCTCCCCCATTTGGTCATTTATCTCTGAATAGGTCCAGAACCCACCCTAGCTCCCCAGAAAAACCTTTTCTTTACCCTTTGCTTCAAAGCCTGGTGTCCCCTGTGGTCAACCCCTGTGGGACACTTGGGACATACTATGTCCTGCTGGGTGACCCACTGTGACCCACTACCCACAGTGTGTACCTGGATCTCATGTCACCTACATTCTCCCCAATCCTCTAGATGGAAGAAGCTGATGACTGGCTTCGCTATGGAAACCCATGGGAGAAGGCCCGCCCAGAGTTCACGCTGCCTGTGCACTTCTATGGTCGAGTGGAGCACACCAGCCAGGGTGCCAAGTGGGTGGACACACAGGTGAAGACACACAGGTCCTGGGGGGAGTCGGTGAGAGGCAGAAAGTAGGGGAGCTCCCCAAGAAAACAGGACACAGGAAAGAGGTGGAAGGGTACTGAACCCACTGCCATTTTACAAAGGAGGGCACTGAGGTGCAGATAAGTCAAGAGAGCTACTGGGGATCACACAGTTAGAACAGGGAGATGCCAGCCAGGGTTATCCAGGAGGGCAGGCAAAGCTCATCCCTGGAAGGAGGAATGAAATATCCCTCCTCCAGCAGCACTCCATCCTGGACCTCCTTTCCTCGGTACAAGACTTAGCACAGTGATTGTAGTCACCTCTGCATGTCTGTGCCAGGGACCTGATGAAGGCAGCAGCCCTGAGAGAGAGAGAGGCAGGAAAGAAAATGGGGCCTCTTGGGTGGCACTGGCATCTCAAAGCCACACAAGTTGAGGGAGTCTGAAAGGCCACCTGGATGCCCCAGTCCGTGTCCTGTGGTTCCCTCCGATGTGTGGCTGCAGTTATCAGTCTCCTCGGGACTGCATGGGAGCCCCTAGACCTTTGGAAATGGTGTTTATTGCTCTTTCAGCTAGGCCTGGGCCCAGTCAGGGCTGCTGATGCCAGGTGCCCAGGCAGCCTGGCACATTTAGCTCTGGCTGGAAAGTTGCACCTGGCTCCCTCTGGCTTCCAACCTGCTGTCTGTTCAGACAGTCCCTTTGTCTCTCTCACCTGCATTCCCCTCTGTCCCATTACGGGTCTCACTTGGTGTCTGGGATGGCAGGTGAGGCCCCATATAAGGACTCCTCTGAAGGTGCCACTGGCATTGTGGTAGCTGGCAGCTCTGTGTAGCAAACGGGTACTTATAGATCATGGGGTGTGGGGCTGGCTGGCATTGCTTACTGCTAACTAGCTCAGTGACTACCTAGATGTAAGACCTCTAGATAGAGTTAACCCCTGTGTAATCTTCCTTCTGAATCCGAGATCCCCCAGCCCTCTCCTGAGTCCAGTGAAGTCTCATTTGATCAGGCCGGGCTGTGGAGCAGCCACCAACAGAGACTCACTTTGACTTCTGCATTTGTCACTCTCTCCCTCCTATAATCCTCATGACAGTCTAAGGAGGCAGGTGTTGGGATTTCCTGTGGGGATGCTGGAGAGGCCTTATTTAATTACTTACTGCAGTGCTGAGGACTGAGAGGTCCTTGCACCTGTTTGGCAAGTATTGTACCACTGAGGCACCTGTTTGGCAAGTATTGTACCACTGAGTTATATTTTCAGCCTTTTTTTTTTTTTTTACTTTTTACTTCACAATGGCCTTGATATATTGCCCAGACTGGTCTTGAACTCTCCTGGTAACCTAGGCAAGCCTTGAACTTATGATCCTCTGGCCTTAGCTTCTCCAGTGGCTGGGATTCCAGGCCTGTACCAGCAGGACTGGCTTCTTTTTATAGATGAGGCTCATAGAGGTTCCACAAGTTGCTTCTGGGAACCCAGCTAGTAAGCCTCACTGGGGGAACTGTGGCCTACCTCGGGCATTGGCAGAGTTCAGTGACAGCGATTTGAACTTCAGCTCTTGGTGGGGGAGGCCCCACAAACCAGACTCAGGCACTACTCAGGGCTGGACCCTGGCAGACTGTCCAGCTTCTGACTCAAGTCCCCCTGTAGGTGGTGTTGGCCATGCCCTATGACACTCCTGTGCCTGGCTATCGAAACAACGTTGTCAACACCATGCGCCTCTGGTCGGCCAAGGCACCTAATGACTTCAACCTCAAGGACTGTGAGTCCCCCTGCTGGTGGCTGGCAGCCCTGTTACCCCCTGCTTGGCCCATGCCCAGCCCCAGCCTCACCCTGACCCACTCTGTCCCTCAGTCAACGTTGGCGGCTACATCCAGGCGGTGCTGGACCGAAACCTGGCTGAGAACATCTCACGTGTTTTGTACCCCAATGATAACGTGCGTTGCCCTTCAAACTGGAGACTGGAAGCCCAAATCCTTGCGGAGGGACAGGGGAGCTAGGGGACCTTTGCAACTGTCCTAGTCCTTTATTGCTGTCCCTGTGTGTCCTGTCAAGTCCTTTGAGTAGGGAGACACCTGAGTCCTGAGGGAGGGGTTGGGGCGTGACATTTCCTGAGAGCTGTTTTTTAGGGAACGTTCACAGGACTCCTAGTTCATCTAAGTTTTTCTGACGCCATCTGCTATAGTTATTTGGTGGGGCAAAGACCCCTGGGTCCAGAGGGTGGGGACAGTTTAGGGACATTGTGTGGTAGGGGCTCTCCTGGTCCCACCCACAGTAGTTTAGGCCCACCCCCTGCCATCCCAACTGCACTCTGCCTTGCACCTTAGTTCTTTGAAGGGAAGGAGCTGCGGCTGAAGCAGGAGTACTTTGTGGTGGCTGCCACCCTCCAAGACATCATCCGGCGCTTCAAGTCCTCCAAGTTTGGCAGCCGTGATCCTGTGCGCACGAACTTTGACGCCTTCCCTGATAAGGTAGCATGCTGGCCTGAAGGCCTCTGTCTCCCTCTCCCTTGAGTCCATGGCCTCCACCTTCCAGCCTCATTCCACAGAGGAGTGGAGTCTGGGAGTGTATGGGGGGATAGCTTGCTCAGCTCAGGGTCTTCAGGCACCAGGGACACCACTCCAGCTGCCACCATGCCTGGTTCCAGCCCAGCTACAGAACTTCATTTGGCCTTTTGGGGACTCCAAAGGGGCCAGGAGCATTCAAAATAGTGCTTGGTCTGGAACCCAGCCTGACTTGCCCCTTCACCCCGCAGGTGGCCATCCAGCTCAATGACACTCACCCCTCTTTGGCCATCCCTGAGCTGATGAGGATCCTGGTGGACCTGGAACGACTGGACTGGGACAAGGCGAGTATCAGTCACTTTACTCTTCAGGAGCCACTCTGTCCCAGGGTCTCCTACGCAGTGGGCGGAACGAGGAAACCCAGCTGGGCCCTAGGGGAGCCACTCGCTGTTCAGCATGTGGAGAACATCTGTCCCAACTTACTGCATTGTATGCCAGGCCTGGGACGTGACAGTGAAGACCTGTGCCTACACCAACCACACAGTGCTGCCTGAAGCCCTGGAGCGCTGGCCAGTGCACCTCATGGAGACACTGCTGCCCCGCCACCTGCAGATCATTTACGAGATCAACCAGCGGTTCCTTAACGTGAGCTGGGGCGGAGTGGGAGTGGGGCCCCAGCCTTGAAGTCAGGAAGCCTATGGGCTGAGTCTGTGGGGTTGAGGGAGCGGGGCTGGAGACTAATCCTGGGTCCAGATCCTGGTCTTAGCTCTGGGTTCTTTGGGGGCACAGCGAGTGGCGGCTGCATTTCCTGGGGACGTAGATAGGCTGCGGCGCATGTCCCTCGTGGAGGAAGGAGCGGTGAAACGCATCAACATGGCACACCTGTGCATTGCTGGCTCGCACGCAGTCAACGGTGTGGCTCGCATCCATTCGGAGATCCTCAAGAAAACCATGTAAGCTTCTCCACAAGCCTCCGTCTATCACGCTTCTGCTGCGTATAGGCCCCGCCCCTTCAGCTGACACCAGCCTGGATTTCCAGGTCTGACCCCTCCTCTGAGTGACCTTCCACCCAGTTTGCTCACTCAGACTTAGCAGCAAGCAACCTTAACTAACGTTGAGCCCCTCTCACCCACCTCACGGGTGAGCCATTCTTAGAACACACTGTCCCAGATGACCACCTCTTACACACAGCACCCCTACCTGTCCCAGGTCGGCACCCAGATCCAAGCCTCTTTCTGGAAAAAAACTAAAGTAGGGAGCCAGGTAGGAGGGCACTTCAGAGGTTAATGGTGACTCTCACCCAATCCCAACCTGCAGCTTCAAGGACTTTTATGAGCTGGAGCCTCACAAGTTCCAGAACAAGACCAATGGCATCACCCCTCGGCGCTGGCTGGTTCTGTGTAACCCTGGGCTGGCAGAGGTCATTGCTGAGGTGAGAGCTCACAGTATGGCTGACAGGACCAATATAGGTCACTACAAGATAGTCAAGTGGGCAGCCCCCTATACAATGGCCCCAGCTCAGGACTACAGTCCTGTGCTGTGTTCCCAAGGCTGGCATCCATTGGAGGAAGGGGCACTGCTTTCTTACTTAAACAAGCTTGCCCTCTGGCTAGTGGGTGACCTGGCTATATAGAGGCCAGCCTGCTAGAGTTCACAGTCCACAGTCTAATGGAAAGTGTTGTCACTTCTGAAGGGAGACTGCAAAGTGGGTAGAGGTTTGGTGGGAAGGCTAGACCAGGTCATGCCAACAGAAGGAAAGGCCAGAGGTCAGGAGGCCTGTGGGGTCAGGTAGAACAGTCACTGGAGGGCTCAGTGTTAGTGTAGGAGAAAGATGGCTGTGTTCACATTGCTCTGGCTAGGAGGCTTTGGGAAGAGAAGTCCAAGGTGGAAGGGTTAAGTTAGCCTGGAGGAGGGAGGCCAGGATGGGGTGGTCTGGGCTGAAAGCTGTAATTCCACAGCGCATTGGTGAGGAGTATATCTCAGACCTGGACCAGCTGCGCAAGCTGCTCTCCTATGTGGATGATGAAGCCTTCATCCGTGATGTGGCCAAAGTGAAACAGGTGGGGAGGCCCTGGAACTTCTGCCTCGGTGATAGCATCTGGAGGGGACAGGAAGGGGCCTCATGGCTGGGTCAGGAGCTGCTGTTAGAGCTCATCTCTCCTACCAGACTATCAGTGGTGGGAGGCTATCTGCTATCATGGAGAGAACGCTGGCAATGATTAGTAATGTCTGCTGTAGTGCAGGGGCTGAGGGAAGTCGGAGCAGGCGAGCTCGGTAGCATCTGCTTTCCTGGGTCTGTATGAGGGGAGCAATGAGACTGGGGGGGGGGAGGGGGGTTTGAAGCTGAAGCACCGCTGCTGAGCCCTCTGCCTCCTCAATCTGTAGGAAAACAAGTTGAAATTCTCTGCATACCTCGAGAGGGAGTACAAAGTCCACATCAACCCCAACTCGCTCTTCGACGTCCAGGTGAAAAGGATTCATGAATATAAGCGCCAGCTTCTCAATTGCCTTCACATCATCACCTTGTATAACCGTGAGTGGCTGGGACCTACCTGACTCACTTCCCAGGGTCTGACGTCTCCCAGAGCACCACCAGCGGCTAGATTGGCATCTTCTGGGGGCTAGTGACTACCCTTAGATGATGTGGTGTTATTCCCACATCTTAGTTTCATTTCCTGTTGCTGTCATAAGAATCTCTAACAAAAGCACTTAAGGAAAACGGGTTTATGCGGCTCAGCACTCCAGATTACAGACTGTCAATGTTGGGAGGTCAAGGCAGCAGGGGCTTGAAGCAGATAGTCACATTCCATCTTCAGTCAAGAGCAGAGAGTGAGGGCAATGCATTAATGTATGCATGCTCTCTCTCTCTCTCTCTCTCTCTCTCTTTCTCTCTCTTTCTCTCTCTCTCTCTCTCTCTCTCTCTCTCTCTTTCTCTCTCTTCCTTCCTTCCTTCCTTCCTTCCTTCCTTCCTTCCTTCCTTTCTTTCTTTCTTTCTTTCTTTCTCTGAGGTAGGATCTTACTATGTAGCCCCAGCTTGTCTGGAACTTACTGTATAGACCAGGGCGTCCTTGAGCTCACAGAGATCTGTCTGTCTCTGCCTTCTGAGTGCTGGTGCTGAAGGCACGCACTATCCTGTCAGATCCTCCATTCTTCACTTGATCTTAGCCAAAAGGCTGAGAAGTGATCAAATCCTCCATTCTAATATACATTTTTTTAAACATTTACTTACGTGTTGCTTGTTGTATGCATGTGTGCATGCCTGATGCATCACACCTGAGGAGGATAACTGTCATGAGTTATTTCTCTCCTTCTGCCTGTGCGTCCCAGGCTTTGAACTCAGGTCATCAGACTTGGCAGCCAGTACTTTTACCTGCTAAACCTTCTCACTGGCTCTGCTTTCTCCACTCTCACACAGTACAGAATACCTCACTTAGGGAAAAATGTCACCCCCTCCATTAATATAATCAGGATGATTGATCCCTTACCAACGTGGCTAGAGGCCTGCTTCCCCTGCACCCCACCAAGTGATTCTAGATTTTGTCAAGTGGACAGAACTAACCATCACAGCCTACACACCGAAGCTCAGTGAAGGAGACCTGACAGACACAGAACAAAGTGATCAGCCCACGCTGGCACTGTCCACGTCGCAGCCCTGACTGTGGCTGCCTGTGTTGTTAAGCATCCAGACATGATACATCTCTTCTCTACAGGCATCAAAAGGGAGCCCAACAGGTTCATGGTGCCAAGGACTATCATGATTGGAGGCAAGGTGAGAACCTAGGGCAGACTGCTCCTGGATCTTGAACTATGCCTGGGCGATCATAGTGTGGGGAAGGAGGGCAAAACACTGACCCCAGACTGCCCCACAGGCTGCCCCCGGGTACCACATGGCTAAGATGATCATCAAGCTTATCACTGCCATTGGGGATGTGGTGAACCACGATCCTGCGGTAGGAGACCGCCTCCGAGTGATCTTCCTGGAGAACTACCGAGTCTCACTGGCTGAGAAAGGTGGGCCCTGCAGTGGTTGCAGGGTGGGTGGGGGCTCTGACTAGTTCAGTGCCAGAGGAGGCTTTAGCCATCTTTTCCTGGCCTGTGGTCAAGGTAAAGAAGAAATTGGAGGGGCTGGGGAGATGGCTCAGTGGTTAAGAGCACTGGTTGTTCTTCCAGATGATGGGTTTGATTCCCAACACCCACATGGCAGTTTACAACCTTCTCAGTGGTCTGACACCTCTTCTGGCCTCTATAGGCACTGCATGCATGTGGTACAGGTACATGCAAGCAAAGTGACCTATCCACACAAAATAAAATTAAAATTATTTAAAAAATAATAAGATGGTAAATGGCTGAGGAAGATTACATATACTACACACGCACACACACACACACACCCATGCATGTGTGAAGACACCCACCATACATGTACAAGGAAACCAAACAAAACCTGAAAAAACTGTATCAATGGAAAGATCACACAGTGCGTTTAAGGCCAGCCTGGTACACACAGGGAGTTCCAGGTTAGCCGGGGCTATATGGTGAAACCCAGTGTCAAACAACAAAAACAGTAGAGGGACAGGTTCAAGTTGGAATCTATAAAGGGCAGTAGGTTGAGGATGCTAGACTTGGACGGTCTCTTGAGGTCTCTGAATCTGTCTGGGCCCTAACTCAGCCAGGCAGGGCTCTTCCTAGGGCTGACCTTGGGTTTCTGCTGCTACCCCACAGTTATCCCCGCCGCTGACCTCTCAGAGCAGATCTCCACTGCGGGCACCGAGGCCTCGGGCACTGGCAACATGAAGTTCATGCTGAATGGGGCTCTGACCATCGGCACCATGGACGGCGCCAACGTGGAGATGGCAGAGGAGGCGGGGGAGGAGAACTTCTTCATCTTCGGCATGCGAGTGGAGGACGTGGATAGGCTGGACCAGAGAGGGTATGGGGTCAGGAGTGCCTGAGTGAATGGCTCACAGTCAAGAGGCATGCTGGGAGAGACTAGCTGGCCTTGCAACGTCTTAGTTATGGTTGCTGGGACACTGGAAAACTAGAAAGGGAGCTTGTGGCAAACAAGGTTAAAGAGAGGAGAAAGAAGGAAGTAACAGGATGGGAGGAAAAGAAAGTTGAATTTAATATTGTTGTGAAATTGGAGGTAAAATTAAATCATTAGCTTTCTGGATACTGCAGCAGAAAGGGACAAAGTTATAGTGATAAAGTCATCCTTCAGAGCAACCACTTTCCCAGAATTGTTTGTTTGTTTTCAAGACCGAGTTTCTCTGTGTAGCCCTGGCTGTCCTGGAACTCGCTCTGGAGACCAGGCTGGCCTCTTCATATTTTAGATGGACTTATTTTAGATTTACTTGTTTTATTTTATATGTTTTTATTAGGCCTGTGTACCACATACATGTCTGGTGTCTATGGAGGTTAGAGGGGTCAGATCCCCTAGAACTCAAATTACAGGTGACTGTGAGATTCCATTGGAAACCTGGGTCCTCTGTAAGAACATCAACTACTCTTAACCACTGGGCCATCCTGCCAGCCCAAATGTGATTTTTTTTTTAAAATTTACTTTTGTTATTTTTTATTTATGTTTATGTGTTGGGGGGAGCTATGTGAGTAAATGCCATGTGTGTGCAGAGGCAGAAGACGATGTAGACTCTCTCGAGGCTGGAGTTACAGATGGCTTTGAGCTGCTTGCTGTGGATGCTGGGACACAACTCAGGTCCTCTGAAGTAGCAGCAAACACTCTAATCATTAAGCTATCCCTCTAGCCTCCCACTGTGAAAAAATTTAAATAATAATAACACTTGGGTGCCACTTAGATCACATAAAATGCCAACAGTGTCCCAGCTCTGGGATGGCAGAGGTAAAGAGACCAATCAACCTAGCCTACTTGACAAGTAAGAGGCCAGTAAGAGACCCTGTCTCAAAAATGCAAGGAACTTGAGGAACACCCAAAGTTGACCTCTGGCCTCACACACATGCATAGGTGCACACATATGTGAGTGCACACATACACACAATACATGATCATTAACAGGAAAAATATAAGGCTGGGGAGATGGCTCAGTAGATAGTGTTTGCCTTGAGGACTAATGGATTCTCGAATCCACATAAAAGTCAGCATAGCAAAGGCAGGAAAACCCGGAAGCAAGCCTGCCAGCTAGAACAGCTGGATTAACTACCTCAGAGATCAGCGAGAGACCCCTGGAAATTAGAGACACCTATTGTCCGCCTCTGGGTTCACATGTACACGCACATGCGTGTGCACACACACACATCACAAAGAGATACAAAACATCAAGGAAAATAACTGGTACCAGGCAGTGGTGGCGCATGCCTTTAATCCCAACACTCGAAGGCAGAGGCAAGTGGATTTCTGAGTTTGAGTCCAGCCTGGTCTACAGAGCAAGTCCCAAGACAACCAGGACTACACAGAGAAACCCTGGCTCCAAAACCAAAACCAAACCCCAAAAAACTGGCATCTCACAAGCTTCATGTAGCCCTGGATGGCCCAAACTCCTCTCCTCTGGCTTCTGCTCCTGAGTGCTGGGTTTACAAGTATGTACCACCACACCAGGCCCCCAAATTTGTAAATGTTTATATAGTGCTCCATGCTACAGCCAAGCTATATATTTTTAAAAATGCTTTAAAACTTATGTGTATGAGTGTTCTACCTGCATGTACCCTATGCCACGGGGCCAGAAGAGGGTGTTGGATTCCCTAGGGCAGGAGTTACAAACAGTTGTGAACTGTCATGTGGGTGCTGGGAATTAAACCCTGGTCTCTTGGAAGACCAACTTTTAGTGGCTGAGGCATCTCTCCCAGCCAAGCTATATGGTAACCAATTCTAAACCCCAAGGCATTAAAATTGAACTGTTGTAAATGTTACTTCAGGGAGCAAACTTTCTAATCAATGCCCAGTTGTTTGATTATTCCATTGAGAATTATTAGGAGGGCTGGTGAGATGGCTTAGCAGTTGAGAGCACTGACTACTCTTAAGGGGGTCATGAGTTTAAATCCCAGCAACCACATGGTGGCTCACAACCATCCATAATGAATGAGATCTGATGCCCTCTTATGGGGTGTCTGAAGACAGCTACAGTGTACTTACCTATAATAAATAAATAAATAAATAAATAAATAAATAAAAACTTTTGGGCCAAAGCGAGTGAGGCTGGAACAAAAGAGAGAAGGGAAGGGGGGAAAAAAGAGAGAATTATTAGGGAAGCCAGATGGTTGTAGCTCATGCCTTTAATTCTAGTACTGGGGAGGCAGAGGCAGGAAAGTTACTGTTGAGTTCAAGGTCAGCCTGGTCTATACAGCATGTTCCAGACTATCCAGGCCTATACAATGAAACCCTATCTCAAAAAAAAAAAGGGCTGGAGAGATGGCTCAGTGGTTAAGAGCACTAACTGTTCTTCTAGAGGTCCTGAGTTTAATTCCCAGAAACCACACAGTGACTCACAACCAACTGTGATGGGGTCTGATGGCCTCTTCTGGTGTGTCTGAAGACAGTGACAGTGTACTCACATACATAAAATAAATATATGAATATTTTTTTAAAAAGCCAGGCAGTGGTGGCGCATGCCTTTAATCCCAGCACTTGGGAGGCAGAGGCAGGCAGATTTCTGACTTTGAGGCCAGCCTGGTCTACAGAGTGAGTTCCAGGACAGCCAGAGCTACACAGAGAAACCCTGTCTCAAAAAACAAAAAAAACAACCAAACAAACAAAAAAAGATACCAGGCTACTGCCCAGTCTACTGCTTTATGTAGTGTGCAAAACAAACTATTCTTTCTTTTTATGTTTTGGTTTTTTGAGACAAGGTTTCTCTCTGTAGCCCTGGCTGTCCTGGAACTCACTCTGTAGACCAGGCTGGACTTGAACTCAAGAGATTTGCCTGCCTCTGCCTCCCAAGTGCTGGGATTAAAGGTGTGTTTTTATGAGGGGATGAGTTTGGAATAAATATTAGAATCAAAAAGTTCCTGGGCTCAGCAGCTAAGAGTGCTTATGGTGTAAGCCTGCTGACCTGAGCCCATGTAGGAGCATGCTCAGGCGTGTGTAATCCCAATGAGCCTGTAGACAAATGCACAGGCGTGTGTAATCCCAACGAGCCTGTAGACAAAGGGAGACACTGACAGGAGACCGAGACTCAGAAGCTGGCAGGCTGGCTAACCCGTCTCACAGTGTCAGAGTCCCTGATTCAGAAACAAGAAAGAAAGGTGGCAATGAGCCCCTGAAGCTTGCCTGTCCTGGTGAGGCATGCTCACACCCCCACACAGAGACAAAACTGTGAGAGTTCCTTAGTCTCTGGCACAGAATTTCAGAAGCTTCTGGAAGGTTGGTATCAGTTTACACTTCCACCAACAGCTTCAGAGAGCTGACATTTACTGCTGAAAGGGCTTTTTCCTAGAAATGTCAGACTCTGAATGGGGCACAGTGGTGCACACCTTTAACTCTGGAGGCAGAAGCAGGTAAATCTCTGTGAGTTTGAAGCCATCCTGATCTATATGGAGAATTCTAGGCCAGACAGGGATATGTAGTAAGACCTTACCTCAGGAAAGAAAGAAAGGAAAACAAACAAACAAATAAATAAAAGAAATTTCACATTTTGTTTTCTGGACCCAAAGGTGCATTGAGTGAGATCTGGGATGTTCAGACCATACTCCAGACTTCAAAACAATCTGACTGCAGAGGACAGGGTAGTGTGCCAGTGCGGACACTGCACAGGCAAGGGGAGTCACAAAGCAGGGCAGTGTGAGGACCTGGGATCACTGTGGAAAGAGACTCTGTTGTTGATTGGAAGGTGACAGAGAGTCAGGGAGGGAGGGCAGGCCATCTTTGTACTGGGTTTTAAGATAGGGGGTGAATGGACGTTACCTTGAAAGTGAGGAAAAGTTGGTACCAGCCTGTCATGAGCTTGGTCTGATTGTGGGAGCTTAGAGGCCATATCCAATCGTGTGTCTGTTAGAGATGAGTTTGGGACAATGGAAAAAGACATTCATGTAAGGTTTTGTTTCGCTTTATTGGTGGAGCTGGGGATGGAAGCCAGGGCCCCTCACACACCAGGCAAGCACTCTGCCTGACTTCCAAGCACTTGGAAGATGAGTCCTTGTTTGGAGTCTTGAAAACCAACACTTGTCTTTGTGTTTCCTTCTTTTGAAATTAGGGGTGTATGTTGGTGTGTACATAGGTGCACTGAGCCATCTCTCCAGCCCCAGATTTATCTTTTGTCTTCTCTGGGCCTGAGTGTTTCTATGAAGTGGTTGGAGAAAAGCTCCAGTGCACTGGAGCTGGGGAGGCCCTGGGCCTCAGGTCTCCCCAGCTTTTCTCTGGGAAGCTGGGGCCCCCTTTGCAGAGAGCTGATCACAGGTGTACTCTGGCAGGTACAATGCCCAGGAGTACTACGACCGAATTCCTGAGCTTCGGCAGATCATCGAACAGTTAAGCAGCGGCTTCTTCTCCCCCAAACAGCCTGACCTGTTCAAGGACATTGTCAACATGCTCATGCACCATGACCGGTGAGCTGGCTGGCTGCATGGAGGATCATGGAGGAGCAGGGCTTGGGTTGGTGGGGAGGCTGGCTGGGGTTTGGCTTCTATTACTCCTGCTGTCTACTGTACCAAGGACTTGGCCTTTGACCACACAGACCTCTGCTCTCTCCTTTCTCCTCTAGGTTTAAAGTCTTTGCAGATTATGAGGAATATATTAAATGCCAGGACAAAGTCAGTGAGTTGTACAAGGTGAGGGGCCATCGACCAGGGCCTGGCAGGGCTTTGACTCTGGCTGGGATGAGGGAGAATGGGGTCAGCCTGCTGGCAGAATGAACCTAGAGATTCCCTTGCTGTCTATAGAACCCAAGAGAGTGGACACGGATGGTGATCAGGAACATAGCCACCTCTGGCAAGTTTTCCAGTGACCGCACCATTGCCCAGTATGCCCGGGAGATCTGGGGTGTTGAACCTTCTCGCCAGCGCCTGCCAGCCCCGGATGAGAAGATCTGAGCTTTCACACCAGACCCCATACCTACCCTTGAGTCTGTTTGCAATTCCTGGGATCAGGCCCACTCCAGGTGGTGGGCCTCTGGAATTATATCTCTACCCTCACCCTTTGGGAACCCTCTTTTCCCAATCTCTAGGTCCCGATGCCCAGTGTGACTAAAGACCCTGCCCTCTTCTTTTCCCTCAACTCCCTACCTCTTTTATTTATGTATGGGGTCTAACCAAATGCACCCACTCCCCAATAAATCGACTCTCCCTGAGCTTCCTTACTCTTCTCTCTGTTGCAAAATATTTTTAGCTCTTGGAGAGCTTAACAGCTGCTACGCAATCATCTCCTTACCGCGCCCCCCTCGCTCCCCCGCCCCTACACACACCGCGGCAGGTGCATCCTCTGTGGGGAGAGAAGGGCGGCCCACAGGCGGTGTCTGGGACTTAGTCCCTTTTCCGGTGTCGCCCTCCACGCCTCTCTTCCCAGCGCTGTGTCCATACTAGGTCAGCGGCCAGCTTAGTTAGTCGGGGGTGGGGCGTCTGTCTGGGTGGGGCTCACCGGGTCAGGGAGTCGGTACTTGGGCCGAATCCTCCCAGATTACGGAGCTTGCACGCTGTCTGGGGAGGGTCCAGAGGAGGCTTGGCGCCTTCTTGACCACGCCCCTAGCCCCGCCCCACTGCGGCGTTTTAGGGTCTCTTAGCAGGTGGCTAAAATAAATTTAAAACCAGGGGAATGTTAGGGCTTAGGGCATTCGCAGACCGTTTAGGCGAGAACATTAGTATATTCCCAGTTCTGGAGAAACTGAGGTCTATAAAGGGCCTCTTCTGAGCCTCACATAAACCAGGACTGAAGTGCAGAGGACTGCTTCCCTCACCCAAGGCAAGGAGGGGCAATCCTCGGAAGGGGTTTTGGGGCCCTGGGTTTCACAGTGAGTCTAAACGGCCGGAAACTGTTACCTATTCCTAGGCTAGCTTGTGAGGGACCCCAACTGCTTAAGGCTGCCCCTCCCAAGTTCCTCTCCTGGGCCCATGCATCTAAGGCTTCCAGTTCCGAAACTGCTAAGCACCTACCCAATTTGTAGATGCCCAGTGCAGTGTCCCTCGCCCCATCTCTAGATATTGAGCCTGGGTCCCTATGGAGCCGCGTGCTCATTCATTCATTCCTCGCTTTTTGAGGCTCTACTCGACCAAAACCAGCTCGCATTCGGTCCCAGCCCCTCCCCCAGGCCATCGCAAGGACTCGCAGCCCCACGCCCGCGACCTCCACCACGCCTGGGCCTCCACCGCCCGCAGGAAGACGCCCGGGCCCGGGCAGGGTGAACCTCGTGGGAACGGTTTGTCTCGAAAACAGGAACCCGGACCGGGGGGCTGGGCGGGGCGCCCCTTCCCCACCGCAGTCCGCTTCCTGCCCCTCCCGGCTTCCTCCGTGCGACACCCAGGCGGGGCGCAGAGCCCGGGGGTGTCGCGGTGGGGGAGGGCTGCTGCACGCGGTCCCCACGCCGCCACTGGCGCAGCCCCCCGCCCGCGGCTAAGCGCTCTGGGGCGGCAAGGGAGGGGTTAATGTGCTGCAGGGCCCGGCGCGCGCGGGGCGAGAGGGGGAGTCCCCGGTGGAGGTGGCGCGGCGCGGGGTGCAGGGGCGGGGAGGGGGCGGGGCGGCAGGGCGCTGGGCCGCGGCGTGGAGAGCGGGCGGGAGCCGCAGCCGCAGCGAGGCCGGCGGGCGGGAGTGCACGGAGGTGGCGCGGGCCAGGCAGGGTTCGGGCTCCGCGCTGCGGGTCCCAAGAGTGAGTGAGCGAGCACGCGCGCGGGCGGGGCGTGGGACACAGAGGGTGCGGCCCCTAGGGATCTCCTAGGAGTAGGCCGGCGGGGACTGCGGTTGGGTGGGGAATCTGCGGTCCTAGGTGGGACAGAGCTTTTGGAGGGGGTAAGGCACTTAAAGCCACCCGCAGGAGGGGGGCGTCCGTGCCATACCGGTGCTCGCTTGACACGTCTCTACCAGGTTGTTCCCTGCAAGTCCCCATTTGACAGATGGGAAAATTGAGGTTCAGAGAGGCTAAATGATTCTCAAGGTCACCCAGCAAGGAACCAACAATCAGGAGGGAACGACTCTGAGAAGTCCTCAGAAGGACTCCCTAATGTGGGGTAGTTCGTTTAAGGGCGAGGTCCCTTTCTTTGGGGCAAGGCTCTGGAGAGATCCAGGAATGTAAGGAACCCCAGGCTTTGGGGCTCTGTGCCCTAGAGCCTGGTTGAAGGGGGAGGGGCGGCAGAATGGGTGTGTGCGCAACCACGGGGGTATGTGGATGCGTGTGGGAGTGTACATGCGTGGAGATGCACTGTCTTTGCGTGTGTGCACACGTGTTCAGATGTCAGAGCTACTGTGATCGAGGGATCAGAGGCTGAGCTGGTTGAAATGAACAGAAGGTCTGGGAGGTGAACTGCATTCGGGTTTGCATTCCGAAGTAAAGGACTTGGGTATGTGTGGCTGAGGATTTTCATTGCAGGTGTTCCTGGGATGTGGGTGCCATTGTGTGTGATCAGGACGGGAGGTGTCTGTGACCCTGGTTGTGAAAAGGGTCTTCGTGCACTTAATGTAGGTCACTGGCCTCCGGCAGATACCTAGTCTAGAAAATAGGTGTTTGTTCCTTCATGGGTGCTTTTATAGTCCCCACTGATGACCAGGGTTCTTAATGGTGTTATGCAGGCCATGGCGCTAGCGGCCCCTTCTGGACACCCTACTCGGTGCTCTCACGCACAATTTAACTATGCAGCAGGGTGGGTGGGAAGTCAGGAGCCCAAACTGGGAAGATACATGGCAATTCTGGAAGGGCTGAGACTGGACTCTGGGACCTTAGTTCTTGTGGGTTGGGAGTCCGCGGTTCCCAGGCTCTGGCTTCCCACTGACATCTCCCAGTCGCAGTGGGTTACCCCCACCCCCGCCCCAGGAATGTTCTTCTCTCTAGCCCTCTTCCCCAAGGGCAAGCCCCTGGGGGATGCTACGGCCCCGCCTCCCATTCGGGGAGCCCAGGAGGGGGCGTTGTAGGCAGGACGCCTGGGTTTCCTCCTCCCTCCTTCCATCCCAGGGAGAAATTCCTCCGAGGTCCCCTCAGGCACTGGGTTCCCAAAATAACCCTGCGGGGGAAGGGAGGCTATGAAGGGAGGGGAAGCGGGAGGAGCGCCGAGTCAAGCTGTGGGGTGCTGCAGGTGCCTGTGGGGAGCAAACGCAAGGAGAGGAGGCCCGCCAGGAGGCTTGGAACTCTAACTAACCCCTGGGGTCCTGGCTCGTTCCTTATTCTCGTAGAACCCTTCTACCCTCAGGCGACTCCGCGGGTGGGCCGGAAGCCTCTCGGTTAGTCCATTTCCCAACTAGCGAGTTGCACCATCCCGGGGCAGGACCGTTTAACCCCGAAGGGGCAGCAGCAAGCAACTCCGCCCCTGCCCAGCAGGGGGCGTGCCCACTCCGCCCCTGCGCAGCTTGCCGCTCCCCCCACCCACCTTACGCCCCGCCTCGCGCCTCTGCTGACTCCCACTTCTCTCAGGACAGGGGTCCGAATTGAGTACTGTGGGAAGCTCTGAGAGGGTAGCTTGGGTCTAGCCCACTGGCACCGGCAGCCATGGCGAGCACTCTGGACCTGGACAAGGGTTGCACGGTGGAGGAGCTGCTCCGTGGCTGCATCGAAGCCTTTGGTGAGTTGCATGCAACACGAGGGGTAACACCCAGCTGGAGCCTGAACCAAATTCCCGGCCAGGACCTACCCAGGCTCCTATTTTGAAGTTCGCTTAAGGAAAGCCCCTCGTCTTTGCAGAAAAGTGCCTCAATGTACCCGTTATCCAGACGTCAAGGAAGGGGGACCGGGGTCCCAACTCTGACCTGGGAGGGGCATTATCTGTCTCCCTGGGGGATCCGGAGGAACTCTCTATCTCTAGCCTGGGAACTGTTTCCGGCAGATGGGGGTTGGTTTATCGGGTGAAAGGGGTGCCCCTTCCCCCAGCACTCAGGAAATGACCTCTGTATTCTTGACCCCGGGGAACCCAGGCTCCTTCCGCCCCAGCTGGTTCCCCTCCGGACGATGGGCTAGCTCCAAGCTCTCCTTCAGCCTCTGGATCCTGCGGTACCCGCATCCACCCAGACTTATTTCTCAATTTTCACTCCTGGCTTTGGAGTGTTGGGAAATGCAGTAGGTGGGTGGGGTCGGGAATGCAGACCCAGGGACCTGTCACCAGACTGCAGACTAGGCTTAGGCATCTGAGCCTCAGGACCAAGGGTCAGCTGGCTTCTTTTGGACTTTTGGAGCAGATGACTCCGGAAAGGTGCGAGATCCACAGCTAGTGCGCATGTTTCTCATGATGCACCCCTGGTATATACCTTCCTCTCAACTGGCTTCGAAACTGCTCCACTTATATCCTTGGCGGGGGCATGGCTCAGGCTCGGTTGTCCAGGAGCCCATTCTGTTTGGCTTGCTCAAGACCTTAGAGCCTGGAGTGCAGGTCCTGCCTATATCCCACAATTCAGACACAGTCCAGTCTTCTAGGACCTAGGCTTTACCTTGTTCCCAGCGGAGGACTGGGGCCCTTCTGTTTCCTAGGCCTTGGCCTCACTCCCCTAAGGTGTTGGATCAGCTTCTGCTCTACCCAGAGGCCTCCTCTTGCCCTTCTTTGAGGTCAAGTCCTCCTCTTCATCTGTGGTGAAATCCAGCCCTCTACCTCCATCTCTACTGCTCTGGAAGAGTTCATATCTCAGTTCCCTCCTCCACCCTGCATTCTCCTGGGTTCAGGGCATCCCATGCCTCAAAGCCCAGGTCCCTTCCCTTGGGTGCTCCTCCACCCCTCTTCCTAACCTTCGGTTCCAGTCTGTTGTCCTTAACTTCTGTACCTATCAGCAATCCCGGAAGGACAACTCCAATTCTCTACAGGTGAAAACATGTCACCTGGTCAGGTGAGTCTGGGCTCTGGCCCCTCCTCTTGCTACCTTTTTGAAGCTTCATGTGGGCTTGCAGGAGTGGACAGCATTTAGGGGACCTACCATGTGGGTTTGCCAGTGAACACTGTCTGTGTGTGCTGCCGGCCTTGTTGTTTTCTTCTGATGTGTACTGAGGAAGTGGATGGAGAGGGAAAGATTTGGGATGAGGGGGCGGGAGTGGGGATGGGCGCATTCTCACCATAACACAGAGCACCTTTAGATGCTTTACCTCATCCATTGGGAGTGAATACAGCCCTAGTAGTTTCCTCCCTTGTCCACTTGGGGATGGTGGGTGAGGGAAAGGCCGCCTTAGATGACGTTTCCTGTGCCTGCCCCTCTGTCAGGTACTGGATCTCAGCCTTCCCAGCAGAGTTCGACTTGAACCCAGAGCTGGCTGAACAGATCAAGGAGCTGAAGGCTCTGTTAGACCAAGAAGGGAACCGCAGGCACAGCAGCCTCATCGACATCGAGAGTGTGTGCGTGGGGGCGGAGCTCGGGGCACTAGCATGCTACACCACATGTGCTTAATAAATGTCTGTTCAATTGAATGAGTGAGGGTCATGTCACTCTCTTACTATAAAACCTCCCATGGCTCCCTAGCTCCTTCAGAACACCCGTCTAGCTATTAAGGCCCTTTGTGATCCCAGGCAGGCCTGACATTCCTGCCTGTCTCCCACACACTTCATACTGCGGCTCAGGGGTTTGCTCATCATTGTCTGTCCTGCATCCATCCTCCATAGTGCTCCCTCTTGTTGCTGCCCTGTCTCCTCCATGCTCACCAGACTCAGCACAAGTGTGGTCCCTGCCCAGGGACGGTGCTCCTGTCTTGCAGAGCAGAATTTGCCAGTCTCTCCTGTATTTTCCTGAGACGCTCTGTGCAGACTCTTGTTCAGAGCCTTTGGAACATGTGTGCCACTGTTCGGTGATAGTGTGTTTCTGTGTCTGTCTCCCTCAGTAGATTGTGAGCTCCTCGAGGGCAGGAACCGTGTCTTGCTCATCTCTGTACCCCAGCGCCTAGCACAGCGCCTGGCACAGAGTACGTTGTCCATCAGTGTGTGTGGAGCGCGTGGTGAAGGGGACACATGAGGGACTTGGGGGTGCTTAGGATGGTGGCTCCTGTTTAGGTCCCAAGTCAGTTTGAGTGGCATGTCTGAGTGAGAGTGGGGTCACAGGAGGCAGGGGACATCTCCAGCACAGGGCTCACTACCCCTGCCCCCCCAGCCCAACCTACAAATGGAAGCGGCAGGTGACCCAGCGGAACCCTGTGGAACAGAAAAAGCGCAAGATGTCCCTGTTGTTTGATCACTTGGAGCCTATGGAGCTGGCAGAACATCTTACCTACCTGGAGTATCGTTCCTTCTGCAAGATCCTGGTGTGGCCTGAAGGCTTGTGGTTGGGGTACAGGAGGGGCTGAGAAGGGAGTTCCAGAAAGGGCTAAGACTCCGGGGTATGCTGGCTCCCAGGGATGGTTGGGTGGTTTCATCAAATGACAGGGGGAGGGTGAACAAGGCAGACAGTGATAGGAGAGGCCAACAGGGCACTCATGCCAACCCCACCTGTCCCCAGTTCCAGGACTACCACAGCTTTGTGACTCATGGCTGCACTGTAGACAATCCGGTCCTGGAGCGATTCATCTCCCTCTTCAACAGCGTCTCTCAGTGGGTCCAACTCATGATCCTCAGCAAACCCACAGCCACGCAGCGGGCTCTGGTCATCACACACTTCGTGCATGTGGCAGAGGTGCCTACCTTCCCCGTGTGCCCAGACTCCATCAAGCCCCGCCCCTTCTCTCCTAAGGGCTGCTGGGTAACATGCCGCCGCCTCCTCTCTATTTGCCTTCCAGAAGCTGCTGCAGCTGCAGAACTTCAACACGCTGATGGCTGTTGTGGGAGGCCTGAGCCACAGCTCCATCTCACGCCTCAAGGAGACCCACAGCCACGTCAGCCCTGACACCATCAAGGTGCCTGGTTTTGGGTGGGGGCCTGTGCTTCGTAGTTGTGGCCTTCCCAGCAGTGCTGGAGTCTAGGCATGATTGTTCTTGTCTGTTGAGGAAACTGAGGGTTGAAGGAGGGAGCAAAGTCTCTAACTGTACAATGCAAGTGGGCCCCAGGGCTGCTTGGTCCAAAAGCTAACTTTATTTTATTTTATGTGTGTTTGTATAGTGTATGTGTGTTCACGACTGCATGCAGGAGACCGAAGGCTAACATTTATTGTCTTCTTCTGAACTCCATCCTTTTAAAATTCACTCCTTTTAAAATTCAGAAATTTAAAAAACATTGCTGTGTTTTTTTAAAAAAGATTTATTATTCTATGTATATGAGTACACTGTCACTGTCTTCAGACACACCAGAAGAGGGCACTGGATCCCATTATAAATGGTTGTGAGCCACTATGTGGTTGCTGGGAATCGAACTCAGGACCTCTGGAAGAGCAGTCAGTGTTCTAACCACTGAGCCATCTCTCCAGCCCGTGTTGCTGTGTCTTCAAGAATGATTGGTGGCTCCTGCCCGAGCAGCAGGGCTCAGGGTCAGATCCTCCAGGACAAGAACTTTCCTTTTCTTCCTGGGGGCTTTTGTTGTCCATTTTCACCATCCTTGGAGTAGACACACTTGAAATTTTCCATCTCAGATGGTCTCATTCCACGTGGATGGGAGGAGCTTCTCATTCCACATGGGTGGGAGGAGCTTCTCATTCCGCATGGGTGGGAGGAGCTTCTCATTCCGCATGGGTGGGAGGAGCTTCTCATTCTGCATGGGTGGGAGGAGTTTCCCATCCTGTCGTGTGGTGATCATTCAATTTTTTTGTCGTGTGTTATTGTAAGTCTGTCCTAATTTAGTATTTGTTGTTAAACATTTGAAGTTTTTCTTTTTTTTATAAATTTACTTATTTAGTGTATGTGTACATGTGCCCACACCACAGTTCTTGTGTGGTGCTCAGAGAACAACGTGTAGGAGTCTGATTTTTCCTTTTATGATGAGGGCCCTGGAGATTGAACACAGGTCTTCAAGCTTGATGGCAGGCCTTTACCATTCAGTCATTTTGCTAGCTTCTCTTCCTCCATCCCCCCTCCCTCTCCCCTCCCTCCTTCTTCCCCTTCCTCCATCCCTCGTTCCCTCCTTCCTTCCTCTTTCTTTTTCTCTCTTTTTTAAGATTCAGGGTATCACTGTGTAGCCCTGGCTATCCTGGAATTCCCTATGTAGACCAGGCTGGCCTCAAAGTCCAGGGATCCACCTGTCTCTGCCTCCACAGTCCACATCAGCATCTTCTTGGTTTATTTTTGAGATGGGGTCACATATGTTCCAGGCTGTCTCTGAACTTGCTGTGACCTTGCCCTCCTGTGCTCTTGCCATTACTTCTGGTCAGAGACATTCACCGCCACACCCAAGATTGCTGGGGTGCTGCGGGCAAGCCTGGGCTCCCTGCACAGTAGGATCCACTCCACCAACTGAACTCACTTCCAGTTCAAGGTGTCTTTTTTCCCCTCCCCCACACCATCCCAACTACTTTTTGATACAAGGTTTTGCTGTGTAAAATCTTGGCTAGCTTGGGACTCACTGTGTAGATGGGGCTGATTTTGAACTTACAGTTATCCCCCTGCGTCTGCCTCCCCACTGCTGGTTTATGTGACCAGGCTCAGCTTAAGTTTTTTTCCAGTGTTTGCCATCACCAAACACCCTGTCTAATAACATCCTTCTTGGTCAATAGGCTGGTGTTTAGATGTTGATAAGCTGTGTTCATCCCTGGTGTATATGTGTGTTGTGGTGGCTGGTCATAGTTGTTTTCTTGGACTCATGACCTATGAGCTTTGACCCCCAGAGTTTGAGAGAGCTGTGTTGGGAGCTGATAAGGGAGGATTTGACCTTCTTGCCCATCCTTGGCCTTGCTCCCTATCCCTTCCCACAGTTCCAGGGATGAGGTGGGAGGATGGTTGAGTGGTATGTATGAGTGACACTCGGCCTTCCCCCTCCCCCACTCCTCACCCCCAGCTTTGGGAAGGTCTGACAGAACTAGTGACAGCTACTGGCAACTACAGCAACTACCGGCGCAGGCTGGCGGCCTGCGTGGGCTTCCGCTTTCCTATCCTGGGAGTGCACCTCAAGGATCTAGTGGCTCTGCAGCTGGCTCTGCCTGACTGGCTGGACCCAGCTCGGACCCGGCTCAATGGAGCCAAGATGAGGCAGCTTTTCAGCATTTTGGAGGAGTTGGCCATGGTGACCAGTCTTCGACCACCAGTGCAAGCCAACCCCGACTTGTTGAGTCTGCTCACGGTGAGAGGCTGGGCACAATGTCTGCATTTGTGTCTGCTGTGGCTGTGTGCTTTCTGGGTTCTGAATAAAGAGCCGAGGTTTAACTTGGGCTCTGTCTAGAGCTTGCTCTGGACTATGAGGTGATTTCAAGGTTGGGCTGAGACATAGGACTGGGGTCTGATCTCAGAAGGCTTGGTCTGAGGCTGGGCCTGCATCCTTGGTCCTGAGTTGAGCTCCTGGCAGTGGTTTATATTCAAAAGGGAGGACTAACCTTTGGATTTGTGGGCGACATGGGTGATTTCTAACATGGCCTCAGCTCCTGAGTGAAGTTCTTTTAGTATTTATTTATTTTGTTTTTGAGACAGGGTCTCACTTTGTAGCCCCGGTTACTCAGACTTATTAGGGAGCGTAGGCTAACTTTGAACTCATGGAGGTCTTTAGGACAGGTTCTGACTCTGTGTCTTATCTGATATTTTGGCATTGAGTTGTGTTTAAAGTTTGCTCTGTGGGATGGCTGGCATGAAAGTGGTTGCAGTATTTTCTAAGCTGGCTTTTGTCCTGAGTCTAGCTTTCATATTAGGCTCTGGGCAGACTGGTAGTCCTGTGGCCCTGGGTTTGTGTCTCCTGTGTGAGGGAGGAGCAGGGACCAGGGGATGTGACCAGACCTTTATGTCCCAGGTGTCCCTGGATCAGTACCAGACGGAGGATGAGCTCTACCAGCTCTCCCTGCAGCGAGAGCCACGCTCCAAGTCATCCGTAAGGGAGCCCCTTCACCCCTCACTTTGCACTTTAGGATCCTAGGGTGCAAAGACAAATCTCCACCCACTACACTCACCAGCTTGCCTGACAATGGAATTCTGGGAGTGGGGGTGGAGGGTGGAGATGGCTTTGGGCAGACCCTCTTTCCGTTTATTGGAGCCTTAGATTCATTCCTGCTCTACCCTGGCTCAGACATGACTCTTTCCACAGCCAACCAGCCCCAGCAGCTGCACCCCGCCTCCCCGGCCCCCTGTCCTGGAAGAGTGGACCTCAGTTGCCAAGCCTAAGCTGGACCAAGCCTTGGTGGTGGAACACATTGAGAAGATGGTGGAGGTGAGAGGCGTGGAGGCCGAGGGAATCTGCTGGAAATAGGGCTGTGTGAAGCTAGTTTCCTCAGAGCCTTGCCCTGGGAGCCACTGTTAGTGCCAGTGCTGACCATCCCTGGGAGACACCAACCTAGGCAAGCTAGTTGCATTATGGGCTGGTGAGACATGACCGAAAAGGAGCATGGGAAGCATCTTTATAATATACTGGGCTCAGAGGTTCCTTTTAATTCTCCTCTCTCCTGGCCTCGTGTATTCCTCTGTAGTCCGTGTTCCGGAACTTTGACGTGGATGGGGACGGTCACATCTCCCAGGAGGAGTTCCAGATCATCCGGGGCAACTTCCCTTATCTCAGCGCCTTTGGGGACCTGGACCAGAACCAGTGAGGAGAACAAGGGCCTGGGGTGGGGCAGAGGGAAGACATCAGTCCACTTCTCCCTTGGGCTCCAGTGTCTGCGTGTGCAGAGAGGGAGGCCTTGCCTGCGAAGCTGCCATGCAGCTGTGATGTTTTGGGGTGGAGGGAAGCTGCCAGTCATACAAGGATAATGTTACTTTGCTAGTTTGGACAGATGGGAGCACCCCACCTGAGCCTGGCAAAGAGGACAGTTATTTGTAGAGTGCGTAGCTGCCGAGAGTGTGGGCAAGTCAAGCCCCTGGGTAGTTGGCTTTAATGAACAGATAAGAAAGAAAATAAGTGAGGAGTGCTTTGAGTTTGAGGCCAGCCTGAGGTATATTATGAGATAAGTAATTAGCAGCACCCCGTTGCTTATCCACAATTCATATGCTGACAATTTCGAAAAAATATCTGGTTCTCTGAAGCAGGTTGAATGTGTCCTCTGTAACCATGTCTATGCCCCATTTTTGCTGAGATGACAAAAACCCAGTCAAAATTTACAGTCCATCCCAGGTTGATTTATTTTTAAATGTGACCTGTATTTCAAAAATATGTGGTTTGGGGACTGGGATGTGTCTTAGTTGGTAGAGCGTCTGCCTAGCATGTGTGAAGCCCTGGGTTTCATCTCTAGTACTGACTATCGAGCAGACTGACACTGTCCTGGAATCCCAGCACTGAAAAGGTAGAAGCAGGAGGGTCAGGAGCTCCAGGTCATCTTCTACTACATAGCAAACTTGAAGTTAGCCTGGGTACATGGGGCTTGGTCTGGAAAAAAAAAGTTTATTATTACTGTTCCCACATTATAAAAATTTATGGTAAGAACAAGATCCAGGTAATAAAATAAATGAACAGAGTGTTTAAAGTAAGCAAATATTAAAAAAAAAAAAGCAGGGTGGGGTAGTGTAACGTTTGATCTCAGCACTGGTGGTGGTGGGGGCAGAGGCAGGTAGACTTTCAGGATAGCCTGTTCTACATAGATAGCCTGTTTCAACATCCCCATACCCCACCCCCACCAAAAGAGTAAGCAAATGTTCCTTTCCTCATATGTAGCCCAGGCTAGGTGGAACTCATACCTTAGGCTGGCCTCAAACTCAAAGCACTCCTCGCTTATTTTCCCCAGTGCTGGGATCACAGGCATGAGCCACCATGCCTGGCTGCCTCCATCCTTCTTGGCATCCATGTGAAATAGATGTAGATTTGATCTGAAGTGAATTTTGTGGACAAACAGGATTCACGTGTGGATCTGTTCCTACTGGTGGCTTTGCGGCTTCTGCTGGACTGAAGAAGTTCCCTGTTTTCTCCTTGGGCTGGTGGGTGGTTTTGGTTTTTTTGTTTTTTCTTTTTGGGCTTGTTCAGTGGGTTGCCGCTCTTTATAACCCAGGAGGTTGTGAGCCTCAGGGATTCTTCGCCCTAAGACTCACCCTTATGTAAACCTGGACCACTGATTGGCCACCAGACACCAGTGTTGGGCTCACAGAGAGAGAGAGGAGGCCATTTACCTGGGCTGTAGTCAGTGGGAGTCCCAGACTGAGCATGCGCACAGCCCTGGGTCTCATCTCCAGGTCCCTTAGAGGAAGAGCAGCTGGCTCCTCTTCCTGGGACCGGTCCCAGCTCACTGCCGCTCGAGTTCATTGTTTATCCCGGCCTCTCCGCCCTCTCTCGTTTGTTTGTTTGAGATGGAGACAAGGTTTCCCATGGAGCCCTGGCTGTTCTGGAACTTGCTTTGTATATCAGACCAGCTTCCAGCTAACTGTATAGCTGAACCTGGTGTTGAGCTTCTGATTCTCTTACCCCCCTCCCCCCTTCTCCTCCCCTCTCCCCCACCCTCCAGCAGAGCTCCTCCAATTGAAGGTTTACCGTTGTGTTCCGCCATACCTGGCTCCCGAAGCTCTCTGCTTCTGGGACTTGGAGATAGATTTCTATCTCTTGCAAAAAACTATTGGTCAATTTTATTATTATTATTTATATATTTATTTTCTTCATTCTTTTGGAGACTGTCTCACTCTAGCTTACATTGTCTGGGAAGTTACTATGTAGCCCAGGCTGACCTTACAGTCTTAGCCACCAGGGTGTTGGGATTCCAGGGATAGCCATCATGGCCCACTTTTTAGTTTATTTCTGCACAGGGTATTGAACCCAGGGCCTTTGCATACCAGGCAAACACTTTTATCCATCAACCTCATCCCAGACAGACCTGGTTTTTGTTTTTTTCTTTTAATCAGACACACCAGAAGAGGGCATCAGATCCCATTACAGATAGCTGTGAGTCACCATGTGGTTGCTGGGAATTGAACTCAGGACCTCTGGAAGAGCAGCCAGTGCTCTTAACCCTGAGCCATCTCTCCAGCACCCCCAGGCCTGTTTTTACATTTGCTTTCTGTTATATCACAAATATCTTCCATGTGGATTCATGTAGGCACGCACTATTTATTTATTTATTTATTTATTTATTTATTTATTTAGGGTTTTGGGTATGGAGACCGGGGCTTACATGTTTCAGGAAAGCACTCTGCTACTGGGCTGTGGTATCCATATTATGTCATCCTTTAGAGGATTGCACCGTGTGGCTGGCCGCCCTTCACGTGTGCCTCCTTCAACTGATGTACTTGTAGACCAGTCCAGAGCTTTGCAGTATTTATCTGCCCGGCTGCTGGAGAAGTCTTTGTATCCACTCCTTTGAGCCAATGTTTCTGGAGGAGAAATTCCTAGAAGTGGGATCACTGGATCCAAAGCAGTGCACATTCTAAGATAGGAGGGAAAGACTGCCAACCTGACCTCAGAGAAGGTTGCACCGGGTTGCACCGCATCAGCCGTGCCCAAGTGTCTCAAACTCCTTGCCAAAAGCAGCAGCTACAATAAGCCTTACAGTTTTGCCAGTTGAGTTGGAAAATAGTGTCCTTGCTAATTTGCATTTCTTCAATTCAACGGGGGGGGGGACTATCTATTCATATGTTTATTGGCCACTTATATTTCTTCTGTTAATTGTTCATATTCTTTGTCATCCTGTTAGGTTTGTGCGTCTTCTTCTCATTGATTTTTAGAATCTGTACTAATGGATATTAACCCCTTTGCTGTTGAGTGTGTTTGCAAATATCTTCTTCCTGTCTGTCACTGATGTTGTCTTTTTCCATATAAAATTTTTTTTAAAGCTTTGTGTGTTTGATATGTCAACCTTTCCTTTGGTGGCTTTTTTGGATTTGTACGGTGTGTAGAAAGGCCCCCTGCTCAAGGTCACGGAACGATTCTCAAATTTTCCTCTCATGGTTTCATGTACTCATCTGTGTCTCATTCTGGGAGAATATGGTTTTCATGTAATTTCATATGTCATACAAAGTCTGTATTTTAGTATTTGTTTTATAAATCACTAGGTGTCCCATTGAGATGAAGGTTCTCTGGTGTTACATCATAGAATATCAAGTTTCAAATAAGGGCCAGCTGTGGAAGTGACAGCCACCAAGAAGTGACCAAGGAGTGGGGTGTGGTAGCATATGCCTGTAATTCTAGACTCTGAGAGGCTTAGGCAGGAGGATCAGGAGTTCAAAGACAGACTCAGCAATAATAGCAAGTTTGAGGTTGGCCTCAGCTACGGGAAACATCTTCTCAAAAAAGTAGCAAGGCAAGATGGTTCAGGCTCTTAATCTCAGCACATGGGAAGCAGAGGCAGGCAGATCTCTGAGTTCTATCCTGGCTAGGAACGTATGGAGTTTCAGACTAGCCAGGCCTACATAAGGAGAGCTTGTCTCAAAAACAAGCAAACAAACGGAAAGTAGGGAGGGGGGATCTCAAATTAAAGTGTAAAAAATAGAAAAAGGAGAAGTGACTGTGACCCACCTAGCCACCTGGACATTTTATATGCATTTTCTCCGTTGACCCTCAACAATACACAAGCACAGGAAATAGGATTATGCACCTATGGATATAAGGAAACCCAGGCACCGGGTGATTAATTAATCCCAAGTCACAGGGCTGAGAAGGAGAGCTCGGATTTGTTTTTATTGAGGATGGGAATGTTCAGATAGTTTCTTTATGTAGTCCCGGCTAGCCTGGAACTCACTATATAGACTTGGCTGGCCTTGAGCTCTCATCAAAGGCATGCGCCACCATGGCCAGTTAGAGCTGGGATCTAAACCGAGATCTCTGCCCAGAACACACATTCTGGCATCTAAAATACGCTACTAGATGAAAAGGGGCCCTTGGGATGCTGGGGTCTGGAGGAAGTCTCGGCTCACAGGCGCAGCTGCTCCAGAGTACCCCAATTCTCAGATGCCCTGCCAGGTGTAGCATAGCACATCGTTCCCAGCTTCTTTAGAGGACACTCTATCTGCGAGATCCCCTTTGTCCTTAGGAGGAAACCCTAGGGAAATTACCAAGCCCACACTAGTTAGTAGCAGAAGTTCCCTGCACTGAAGGTTCAAAGTCATGAGCTGGGTGGAGACCTTTTCCTCTGCCTGTGGGATTAGGGAGGCCAGCCCTTGCCCCAGGGGAGGACCCGAGCTGAGGTGCCCCCACGCCCACCAGGGATGGCTGCATCAGCCGGGAGGAGATGATCTCCTACTTCCTGCGCTCCAGCTCGGTGCTGGGAGGCCGCATGGGCTTCGTACACAACTTCCAGGAGAGTAACTCGCTACGCCCGGTCGCCTGCCGCCACTGCAAAGCTCTGGTGAGCGCCCTGTTGCCCGGACTTGCAGCGCCTCCATCCATCCCTCTAGACCTGGCATGCGGACCCAAGCCCCACCCTTCTGCTGGCCCACCCCGTCCTTACCGGAACACTAGCCAACCCGCGAAACACCTAGAACTCAGGCCCTGTCCTCCAGACCTATAAAACCCTAACCCCCAAGCATGACCCCCTTCTTTATTGCAGATCCTGGGCATCTACAAGCACGGTCTCAAATGTAGAGGTAAGATAAGATGGACCGAATGGCTTCGCTGCTGGATCTAGCTTTAGGGGGTGGGGTGGGAAGTGTTACTGTTGTAGAGATTTTTATTTTAACAAGGCCCGGCAATTTCCAGGAAGTGAAGTACGTTGTAACTAGAGAGGCATCCTGACTGACAGGAGGGGGTTATCTTTTAAGAGGCTGTGGTGAACCAAGCTGCCTAGAAAAAGAAACTTTGGGGAGGGCGTAGTCTGGTATTAAATTAACATGATGAAAGCATCTTGGGAGGAGGCGTGTAGTTTGATGGGGGGTGATTTCTCAGGAGTAAAATATGAGCACAGGCCTGAAGGACGGGGTGGAGAGCTCTCTGACCCATGGCCCTTGCTGGGCTCTCCTTCCCTTCCTCAGCTTGTGGTGTGAACTGCCACAAGCAGTGCAAAGACCGTCTGTCAGTGGAATGTCGCCGCAGGGCTCAGAGTGTGAGCCTGGAGGGCTCTGCACCCTCTCCCTCACCCACACATACCCACCATCGAGCCTTCAGCTTTTCCCTGCCTCGGCCAGGCAGGCGCAGCTCTCGGCCTCCAGGTAAGAGGGTTTCTAGGAAGGCCTATTAACTTATACAGGATGCTGGATGGTTCAGGCATCATGATTTTTTTTTTTTAATTTTGGTGGGATTATAAAGAAGCCTTAGATAGGTAATAATGTCAGAAAGTGCCCAAAGAGCTTCCGACATTCTGAAGATGGGGTGGAGGGAGGCTCTGCTTCCCAAGTGCTGGGATTAAAGGTGTACACCCTGAGTCTGAAGAAGCCTCAGGATCCCAGTAGTACTTCTGTTTTGTAAGGGGATTGGCATTCCACCAGCCATTTGCATGTCTCTTTTTGCCTGCCATTATAAAAGTCTCTTCCCCAATAACCTCTGGATGATTCTCTTGGGGTCTCTGCTGGTTTTGATCAGTTTGCTGAATGATGATTTACCAAATAATTATTTTTCCAAGGACAGTTAAACTGAAGTCCAAGGCAATTCGACCACAATCATTTAGGTTGGTGTAAGTCCTCAAAAATAGAAAAGAGAAAAACCATTTGCAGATGTGCTGGGCTCTGAACTGTGCAGTATACACACAATCGACATTTAAGCAAACTGCACCGGTGGAGATGTGGCTGTGGGAAGAGCATCGACAGAAAGAACGAAGAATAAGCCTCAAAAATGGGGTTGTTTGGCCCTTCTGAGAATTGATTTTTGGAGGATGGGTCTGCTTCCAGAGTGAGGAAGGGATGGGAGCCTGCTGCAATAGGAGATGGCTGCTGGGGTCACAGGGACCCTGGGTTGGGTTTGTGGACAGACTCTCCCATCTCTCTCCACAGAGATCCGTGAAGAAGAGGTGCAGACAGTGGAGGATGGAGTGTTTGACATCCACTTATAAGATGGTGAGTCCTCCCTTTGTAGGCTGCCACCAGGGTCCCCCCACAGAGGGCTGGGGCGGCTTATCAGAAGGGCCTGTGTAGATGGGCCATTTGATGAGGGGTTCCTCATAACTTTTGTCTTTTCTCTTCCCAGCTGTGACTATCAAGGACTCATTCCTGCTTCGGAGGAAACACTTGGAACAGAGCAGGGAGCCAGGGGTTCTGGGGCAGGAGGTTGGGGCTGGGGGTGGGAGTTGAGGGTGGCATGCATTGAGAAGAGGGCCAGGGCTGTTGTCCCTAAGGTTGTACAGACTCCTGTGAATATTTGTATTTTCCAGATGGAATAAAAAGGCCCGAATAATTAACCTGGACCGTCAGCCTAAAACCCTCAGATGCTGTACTTGTAACTACACTGTTGTGTATAGAATTCCATAGGGTGGATAGATTGGAACCTGGTTGTTGTGATGGGGTTGTGATAAAGTCTTAGAAGCAGAAAACCTTCGAATACAAGACTCTTGGAAAGAATGGGAGGAGTCCTGAATCTTGGGGACCTGAGCCTTGGGACTAGTGAGGTTTTTTTTTTTTTTTTTTTTTAAAGATTTATTTATTTATTATATATGAATACACTGTAGATGTTTTTCAGACACACCAGAAGAGGGCATCAGATCTCATTACAGATGGTTGTGAACCACCATGTGGTTGCTGGGATTTGAACTCAGGACCTCTGGAAGTGCAGTCAGTGCTCTTAACCACTGAGCCATCTCTCCAGCCCCCGACTAGTGAGGTTTTGCACTCTAGAATTGCTGGTACTGGTGCAACTAGAGTTTTCAACCCATAAGCAAGATGATCCTGCCTTCCAGATAACCTTTTAGTCCCTGGTTCAATACTCCAGTGACAGGACTTAATGGTGGGAGGGAGAGGGCAGCCCAGGGTACTTACTGGCTGTTGAGCAGAGCAGAGAGTCAGGAGGGGTGGGGACAGTCAGAGGCTGGGGCTGGTGTGCCTCAGGGTGGGAGCTGACATCCTTGGTCATGCAGCCTCCTGGCCTGGTGCTGCAGCCAGCCGGAAGGACAGCGACTTCCAGAGGAAATGCATATTGATCCTGCTCAGCTCCGGAGGCCTCTCCTAACCCAGCTTGCTCTTCCCTTCTGAGCTGGCAGCACCGATAACGTGTGTGTGTGTGTGTGTGTGTGTGTGCCATCATTAACTAAGACCAAGGCCATTTCTAGGACTGCTTTGGGACAGGAGGGTGGTCTATGGGAGTTTTCTAGAGGATCTAGAGCCTGATCCAGATGTCTCTAGGGTCAGGAGGTAGCAGACAGCAATACTGAGAATGGGGGCTACATCCAGGTTTCCACACCGCAGGGTGCCTTACAGCAGCTGTTGGCTTGTTCTGGGGGTTGAAAGGAGCACCCCAAGTCCCTGCCTGTACATCACTCTATTCTAAAGACCTAGTGGTGGCCTCCAATCTCTTAGAGAGTGTACTGTCCCAGAGCCTCCAATTCCTGCCTGTCTCTACCTTTTTGACTTCAATTCCCCTGGTCTTCTAGTGCTTATTTTGGGTCACCTCATTCTCTTGCCCTGTCACAAGGATCAGCTTCAGCCCTGTCCCTTACTGAGTCCCATACACTGCTTCTCCTTCGGTCCTCAGCCCCCTCCTCCCCTTCCCCCTCTTGAGGCTGTAATATCCGTTTCACGATTTGGGGGCTGAGTTGCTATAACAACAGACGGCGATTGTGTTGTGAAGAGCAGCTCGCTCCTGCTCTGCCAGCCTGCCTCCCGCTGCCTCCATCCCTGCAGCCTGGTCGGCTCTCCAGCCCACCCCCAGCCCCTGCTTGGCCTCTTCCCAGTGTGTGGTGTGGCCTGGAGAAGCTGAAGCCCTGCCTCACCCGAGATGTGACCTGTACTTGTCTTTCCACTGTCATTTAAATATGTCAGGATCGGGTGTCTGGGCCTCACATGGTGTGTGTGTGAGCATATGTGTGTGGGACCCACACCTGCATTTGCCTGGTTTTCCCTCCCGGTATGCCCCTGTTGGCTTGTGTACCTGCCTAGAAGGGTGTTTGCTTTATGCTTCCCACCAATGCCCACATTGGGTGTGAGCC